AGAGAGAGAGAGAGAGAGAGAGAGAGAGAGAGAGAGAGAGAGAGAGAGAGAGAGAGAGAGAGAGAGAGAGAGAGAGAGAGAGAGAGAGAGAGAGAGAGAGAGAGAGAGAGAGAGAGAGAGAGAGAGAGAGAGAGAGAGAGAGAGAGAGAGAGAGAGAGAGAGAGAGAGAGAGAGAGAGAGAGAGAGAGAGAGAGAGAGAAATTGGAGCTGAATGAGATCAGATGTGAGCCACCCAATGTGGGGCTACCCAATGAAAGTGGGCTCCAGTCCTTTGCAAGGACTGAGCCATCTCTCCAGCCCCATTATTTTTTGTGGTTGTAAGGACTGACACAAACTACTCCATTTTAATTCTGAGAACTCTGACATTTCTTTCATGCCTGCCATGGGCTTGGAGGATTGAGGAGGCTATTCTTCAGGAAGGGAGAAAAAGCTTACAATTCTCTCCACTTTAACAAAGTAATTACTTCGGACCGAGAGCCTGGGATCTGAGAAGCTTAAGGTCCTTTGCGGGCACAGATTCTTTCAAATTCATAGCAGTAAGTGGAGGAAACTTCCATTTGGTTCACCTGCCCTGCCCTCCTCAGGAAAGGTTGGAAAGGCCAGATGCTCCTAGGCAGTGTCCCATATGCTCTGCTGACCCAGAAATCCTTCACAATTCTTTTGTTTCAGGTACAATTTTACTTCTAAAATCAAACTGCCTACCTTTTTAAACTACCTTGCCTTCTTGTTTAAATATGATATTTAAACCCTGAAATGTGTGACCAAATTGGAGTATTCTACTATCTAAACCTACAAGCCTCTTAGTGAGGTAGTATTTCTTTGGCAGGCTCAGGACCTTCTCTCATTTTCATCAGCACAGTACACTGGATCCCCAGCAGCCGAAGGCCCTGACTCATCTCTGCCATCTCGAATTCATCTGCCACTGTTATTGGAATAATCCAAACAAAACAATGCCTTTATCACATCAATCTCCTCAAAAACTTCCCACTTGAAATTCAACTTTAAAAAAGCAAACATAAACTAGCCTTACTCCACTTCCCACCATTCATTCCATTCAGTGGTGTTTTCAACTGAGGAGCTGACACAAAGAAACTTGTGTTTTAGAAATGTTAAGCTGCTTCTATAACCGGGATGCATTGAAAAGTAGAACAGTGGCAGGAAGGAGACTTGTAATAGTGGATGGTGACTTTCAGCAAAGAGGTTTTAGGACAGGATTATGTGCAAAGTGTAGATAACACAAAGTTAAAGTGCCATGTAAACAAGAGACTGAATAACAGTTGTGTGTTTGGTTTTTGAGACCTGGTCTTACTCTGTAGCTGAAGCTGGCCTCAAACTCACTGAGATATTTCTGCTTCAGCCTCCTAAGTGTTGGGATTGCAGACATGCACCACCATATCTGGTATGGTGGTCTGAGTGAGAAATGTTCCCCCATGGGCTCATGTATATGAATACTTGGACCCAAGTTAGTGGTGCTGCTTGGGAAGGTTGTGGAACCTTTAGGACTTGGAGCCCAGCAAGAGGAAGTGTGTCACTGGTGGCATGTTTTGAGCATTTAGAGCCTCGCCCCTCTTGCAGTTCACGCTCTGTTTCCCAGCTTCCTGCTCCTGCTGCCACACCTGAAACTTGCTGCTAAGTCTCCTGTCCTAATGGACTCTTCCCTCAGGATCTGGAAACCACAATAACTGCATCTGCAAGTTGCTTTTGGTCATGGCATTTTAACACAACAGAAAAGTAACTAATATACCTGAGTACATTTGTGGATGCTGCAAGCTCCCATAAAATGAAGGTGGTTTAGTAATTAGCATTAAATTGATCATATTTGAAAGAAAAAGTAGAACTTTGTCATTTTTGTGTTTTAATATTAAATTATAATATATAAAGAATTGTAATGATTTAGAAAAGGTGCCCCTTTTTTGAGACATGGTCTCCCTGTAGCCCCAGATGGCCTAGAACTCACTATGTAGACCAGGCTGGCCTTGAACTCAGAGATTCACCTGCCTCTGCCTCTTAAATGCTGGGATTAAAAGCTTGTGCCACCACACCCAGCTCTTTTTTTTTTTTTTTAAAAAAAAAAAAAAAAAAAAAAGAGTTTCACTATACAGACCTGGCTGGTGTGGAATTCACTGTGTAGACCAGGCTGGCCTCAATTCTCAAAGATCCACTTGCCTCTGCCTCCTGAGTGTTGGGAATAAAGATGTATACTATCACACCTGGCCTTTTTACAGAAAAAAACCTTTATGCAAGATTTAAATATGTCATAGTAAACATTCCCTTCCTTGTTTAGTATTCATTGGTAGAGCTTTATGGCCCTGCTTCATTATTTCTGAACTATGTTATGGAAAAAGAGACTACCACTATGAAATAGCCATTCATGGGGTATCTAGACGCTCCAAAAGAGCATTAACTTTCCTTATTATATCTATTATTATTATTATTATTTATCTCCTGGCACATGCTGGACTTTGTGATAGTTGAGATTTCTACAAAGTCTATACAGGTAGATCCCTAAGAGGTTATATTATCCTAGACTGATAAAATAAAAGACACTTAGGTAAATTTTGAATTTCACATAAACAATTCATTTTTTGGTTTTCATTTATGTATTTTGTGTGTGTGTGTGTGTGGTGTTTGAGTGCATCATGTGGAGGTCAAAGGACAACCTGTGGGAGTTGGTTTCTCCTTTTATTATTTGGATTCTGGGGTCCTCCCTCAGGCTTGACAGCAACTGTGTTTACCTGATGAGTCATCTCACCAGCCCTTTGGTTTGGTTTTATCAGATAGTGTCTAAAGTGGACAAGACTGGCCTTGAACTCATGATCCTTCTGTCTCTTTGTAAAATTTACATGCAATATTTAGGACATACTCATAGTCTGGGATTTTTTTTTTAGAATATACATTAAAATTTTGTTTATCTGAAATTCTAATTTAACTAGGTGTCTTTTATTTTTATTTGCATTTAATTTGCTTATTTCTGGCACTATAACAAGAGGTAACTTTCCACCAGCTATGGTGGCACAGGCCTTTAATCCCAGCGCTCGGGAGTCAGAGGCAGGCAGATCTCTGTGAGATGGAAGCCAGCCTTGTCTACATAGTGAGGCCAGGCCAGCTGGGGCTACAGGGAGACCCTGTCTCAAAAAGACCAAAATAAATAAATAAAAATAATAACTTAAAAACTACCGTTCAATAACAAACTAATCTTAATTTACTGTAACTTCAATTTTAATTTTTTTTTTTTTTGTCTTTTTTGAGACAGGGTCTCCTTGGCTGTCCTGGAACTCACTATGTATACCAGGCTGGCCCTGAACTCACAGAGATCCACCTGCCTCGCCTCCCAAGTGCTGGTACTACAGGTGTGCGCCACCATGCCCGGCTCTTCAATTTTAATTTTTAAGTTTAATGTTAATGTTACATAGCACCTGTTAGATTTGTATATCTTGGGCCCATGTCATTCTTATTATGCATGCTCAGTTCCTAGGTGGGGAGGGGCTTCCAGTCTCCCTACCAACTGACTTCCTTCTTAGGTTAATCTTTCTTATATTAATCTTATGGTCTCTGTTCTCCAGCCACATTATGACTTTTAAATTTTTTTTAATTTAATTATTTTTATCTTATGTGTATGAGTATATTGCCTGCATGTATGTAAGTGCCCCTGAGTTGTGCAATGCCCTGGGAGGTGAGAAGAAGGCGTTGGATTCCCTGGAACTGGAGTTACTGACACGTTAGCTGCCCTGTAGGTGCTAGGAACCCAGGTCCTGTGCAAGAGCAGCCAGTGCTCCTAACCAGTTCAGCCATCTCTCCACTCCCAACATTATGACTTTTGAAATAACTATTTAACACACAAAGGGGAAACTGTAAAAAGCACTTTCTTTCAGCCAGAATTGGTGGTGCATGCCTGTAATTCCAACATTCAGGAGGCTGAGAAAGAAGGATTGGAAATTTGAAGCCAGCCATCAGCTAGCTATATAGCAAGTCCAGGCCATTCTGGCCTATGAAATCCTGTATAAAAACAAACAAACAAATAAGCAAACAAAAACTGTTAGGTTTGGGAGAAAACCAGGACCACGAGAGACCACTCTGCGTTATGACTCTAGAGAAGGAGAAATTTATTGGGATGTAGAGCTGCTGGGCCACTCTCAAGGGAAAGAGAGGTCAGTGATTTCTCATTACAACAGGTTGGATTTTATAGGATTATAGGATTTCTTTTTTTTGTGGGTAGGGGGAGGTGAGACTGTGGAAGAAGGTAGGAGGGGATGAGTCAATAGCAGATGGAATTTCAATTGTTTTTCAGTTTTTCGGTTGGCTGTGATGGAAAATTGCAATTATGATTAGGGTGTATTGTTAAAGGCAGGAGTCAGGTAGTTACTGAGAAACTAGAGTGATTTAGTTTCTGTTTCCCAGAATGCTGCCCACCGGGTTGTGGTTGCCCTGTTGTTGGTCAGTAGTGACTCCATCTTGGGGGCCCAGTTTGCCATAACAAAAACAAAAATTTCTGGATCTGGTGTGCTCAAAAAGTGTCAGGCCTAGTTTTTTTATATGGTTTTAATATGTCTATGTGCTCATGTAATCTACTTTGATGAGTTTATTGGGGGGTATCCTTTTTTTTTTTTAGATTTCAAAACTATTTGAATATTTAAAAAATTGTGCATTCCAATAATTAAAATCATTTGAACAAAAAATTGGCACTTTGATTAAATGCATTTTACAGCCTGCCCGTGAAACCTTGGACCATCTTGAATTTTACTCTAAATTTCGCCACTTCCCACCCAGCTTTTTCCTTCACTAACATCCAAGCTCTTTTCCTTCCCTGTCAGCCAGACCGGCAGATGGGAGACGCAGGCGTGGCCTTCATTGTCAGTAGTTCTGGATTCTTTGGTGTGAAAGGGGCAGCACAGTCATTTAAACTTGATCCAACCTCTTTGCATCTTACAAAGTTAAACAGCTAAAAGTAAAATAAGAAGGCAATGCTTGTGGAATGTACAGTGCGTATGGGCGGCCCTCACCTCATGATTCGCTCTCTTGCTTTTCCTGTTTGATCATTTCTTTGGAAGGCAAAGGATTTTTCTCTTGCGTTTCTGTCTTCTTCAATTTCGACTTACCGAATTTCTTGAGCTCAGCCATATCGGTGTCAGACATGGGTTGCCGAAGGAGCTGAGCGAGGTGCCTGAAGGAAAAGAGTCGGATCAGCTCAGTAGTGGCCACCGAGTGCGTCAGGTGGTATCTTTTTGACTTTTAGGAAGAAGTTATGAAGCTGAGGGTTTCTAGTATACATGAAGCCCTGGGTTCAAATCTCAACACCTCATAAAATGGCATGGTGGGCACCACTGTAACTGCAGCACTTGGAAGGTGAAGGTAGTAGAATCAGAAGCTCAAGGTCATCCTCAGCTACAAAGCAAGTTTAAGACCAGCCTGAGCTACATGAGATTCTGTCTCAAAAACAAAAACAAAAACGAAAACAAAAATCCCTGCACCTGATCTAAGGGCACCAGGTGCAGGGTTGTTTTGCCTCTGCATTTGCACTAAAAATGGAGCCAAGTGGGGCTTGTAAAACAGAGACACCCAGAGCTGGGCACAGCCCTAAAATTGCCATTTTAAAATGTGGAGTAACATGGCAGGGAACACACTAAGGGCAACACTCAGCCTCCTGAGTCTAGGATTACAGAGGTGCGCCCCTACATCCAGCTTCACCTTAAAATTTGAGTAGTCCTTTACAGGTCTCCATGCAAGAACAAAGGAGACTTTCATATTTTGAATTCAATTTAGCTCTGGATTGAATTTTCACCTAACTTCCCCTTGGAAATCATTAGCATGTTAAAAGGCAAAACTCAAGATATATTGTTATATATTTCTATAACTGACTTCCAAGAGATTAATATGCTAACTTTAAGTTATATGCTTAGATTCCCATCAGTATTGGAAGTGCCTGTGTGCAGAATACTTTTTTCTTTTTGTCTTTTGAGATAGGGTCTCCCTGTAGCCCTAGGTGGCTTAGAACTCAGTATGTAGACCAGGCTGGCCTTGAACTCACAGAGATCAGTCTGCCTCTGCCTCCCAAGTGCTGGGATTAAAGGCATGTGCCACCTTGCCCAGCTCAAGGATACTTTTCAAAAGTGAACTTTGTAAAATCTCATTTCAGATCATGACTGCCAGTGAACATCTACAAGTAGGTCTGATGAGGCAATAAACTTTGAAATCTAATTAAGAAAAATGTTATCCACTTGTGAAAAAAAATCAGAAATGAATATAAAAAGTAATTTAATTCTTACTACTAGACTTGCTTTTAATTTTTTTATCATATTTATTTTTTGTGGGATGTATGCACGTGTACTACACTGAATGTGTGGAGGTCAAAGGACAGCTTACAGGAATCAGTTCTCTCCTTCCACCATGTGGGGTCCTAGGAATCGAACTCAAGTCATCAGGATTGGTGGCAATCACCTTTAGCCACTGAGCCATCTCATCAAGCTATAGTAGGTTTGCTTTTACAAAAAGTTATTGTACGAGGGGTGGAGAGGTGGTTCAGAAGTTAAGAGCACTGGCTACTCTTGCAGAGGACCCAGGTTCAATTCCCAGCAGCCACATGGTGGCTAACAACTGTCCATAACTCCAGTTCCAGGAGAATCCAACACCATCTTCATTCCTCAATGGGCATTGCACGACACGGGTGCACTTACACACATGCAGGCAATACACTCATACACTAAAATAAAAAATAATAAATATAAAATATTTTTAAAATGGCACACACCTTGGAGACCTTTCCTCAAAAAGCAAAAAACATACAAACAAAAAAAACAAAGAAATTCTTTCCCTTGTGTTTGCCTTTTTGAGCCAATCTGTAATGTCAGATTCTTCCAGAAGATGGCTCCCTTTATTTACTTAGTTGAAATAGGAAAAACAAAAGGAAAAATTGAAAGATTGTTACAGTAAACACCATAAACTTACCACTTTGATTCCATTACCAACATTTTATGATTCTTTTATCACATTTCTGTGCAACTATCCACAAATTGTGTTCCTTTAAGGTGTCAGTACACTTCTCTTTAAATACATAAGCATGTGCTACATTTACTAGCAATCAACCTTTTTCTGGTTTCCTTTTTTTGTTGTTAATTGCTTGTTATTTTTGAAGTGCTGGCAATCACACTCAGGGCCTTGGGCATCCTAGGCAAGTATGATACTACTAAATTACATCCTTAATCCTTTTGTTACGTAGAAGATAGACATGTGCAACTGTGTTGGGAGAAGGGGTCCTAGAGGTCCCAAGGAACATAATATTGCTTGACAGTCTTTATTTCAGAATATTTAAAAAAGCTTATGAGAGTATAGAAACTAAAGCCAAGTATGATGGTCCTGATAGTCTGTGCTTTAATTCCAGCACTCAGGAAGCTGGGACAAGAGTATCAATAGTTTAATGCCCACCTGGTCTATACTGTTAGTTTGAGGTCAGCCTTGGCTGCAGGAAACTGTCTCAAAAACAAGCAAACAAAAAAAGAATAACCTGTTCTGGTGAGCTTTGGTTCTTCAGTCATTACCCACTCCTGGCCAATCCATTTGTCCCCATGCCTTTACCCTCAACTCCCTCAACCCCCTCCCTCAAGTTATTTTAAGGTAAATCCTAGACGTCACTTTTTTTTTTTTTTTTTTTTGGTCATTTTGAGACAGAGTTTCCCTGTCAGTCTAGCTGGCTCAGAATTCTCTACTTAGAGCAGGCTTGCTTAGATCTCACAGAGACTTCCCTGCCTCTGCCTCCAGAGTGCTGGGATTAAAGGCATGTGCCACCACCACACCTGGCTACACATTATGTCATCTTTAAATATTTAACATGTATCTCTGAAAATAAGATTAAGATAAAATGTAAGTTTTATGACAACACCTACAAATTAACAGTTAATCTTCATGTCATTAAAAGAAAATCCCAAAAGTAATCTAATTTATTCTATGGTCTTTCTAGCTTGTTTGTTAAACCCAGTATTCTAGATTGTTTCTCCATTGCTATGGTAACAATAACCAGAAGCAACTCAGGAGGAAAAGGGTTTATTTCAGCTTGCAAATTACAGTCTATTGTTGAAGTAAGCCAAGGCAGGGACTCAAGGCAGGGACCTGGGGGCAGTAACTGAAGTAGAAACCACAGAGGAAGAGTGCTTACTGGCTTGCCCTTCCCCTGACTTGCACAGTTACATTTCTCATACTTCCCAGGCCCACCTACTCAAAGATGGCACTACCCACAGTAGGCTGGGCCTCCCACATCAATTAGTAATTAAGAAAATGTCTCACAGATATAGTCATTGGCCAATCAGATGAAGGAAATTACTCAGCTGAGATTCCTTCTTCCCAGATATGTCAAATTGACAGCTGAAGCTAACTATGATGCCAAGGATTAAGTAAGATCTATATACTGTAGTTGGTTAATGACAAGGCTCTTTAATTTCTTCTAATCTATAGGCAGAGCCAGCTTCAAGTCACACAACTAAAGCAGCCATATAGGGTGCCGCAGTAAGGAAGATCCTATATTTGGGTTTAATACTCTGTTGCTGCCACCTTAAAAGTCTATTTTATCTTTGTGTATTGAAACTGAAGCTCAATGAGATTATAGAGCAGGAGTCATCTGGCAGGTCATGTTATTGTAAGCAAAATGTCAGGCCCCTGGGCACTGGTAAAGGCTGTACTCACCCAGACTGGTGTAAGGGAACATAAAATTCTGGATGTCAGGCCAGGTGGGGTAGCACACACCTTTAATCCTGGCACTTGGGAGGCAGAGGCAGGCAGATCTCAGTGAATTCAAGGCCAGCCTGGTCTACATAGTGAGTTCCAGGCCAGCTGGGGCTACAGGGAGACCCTGCCTGAAAAAGAGCAAAAAAAAATTTCTGTATGTCACCAGTTCTAAGTATAGATTTTAATGTCTTCCCTTCTGACTTTCAGTTTACATGTTGTTGGAACAACTGATATCTTGTTTCTGACACATTAGATTTTGACAGTAGCATTCCTATGGAGTCATTTCACAAGTGTCTTTGTACTCTATATTTTCTAAAATTGGTAGATATAAAAGCTTGGCTTGGGGCTAGAGAGATGGCTCAGCAGTTAAGAGCATCATCTGCTCTTGCAGAGGACCCAGGTTTGTTTGATTCCCAGCACCCATATGACAGCTAACAACTGTCCATAACTCCAGTTCCAAGGGATTTGACACTCTCTTCTGACCAACAAAGGTACTGCATGATACGGATGCACTTACATACACATAGAATAACACTCATACATATAAAATAAATCAAAAAATTTTAAAAGGCTTGGCCATATTTATATTTTTATTTTTAGGGTGTGTGTGTATGTGATGGTTTGAATGTTGGATATGGTGCTATCTTTAGAGGCATGAAAAATACAAGAGTTGGGGCTGGAGAGATGGCTCAGCAGTTAAGAGCATTGACTGCTCTTGCAGAGGACCCGGGTTCGATTCCCAGCACCCACATGGTGACTAACAGTCATCTATAACTTCAGTTCCAGGGGTTTCAATGTCTTCTGACCTCTGCAGGCATGGCCACAACACAGGTGCACTTACACACATGCAGGCAATACACTCATACACATAAAAATATATTTTTAAAAAATATTTTATTATTTTTATTTTATGTGTATGAGTGTATTGCCGGCATGTAAGTGAGTTCACCCATGTCGTGCAATGCTGCAGAGGTCAGAAGAGGACTTCAGATTCCCCTGGAACTGGAGTTAAGGACAGTTCGCAGCCACCATATGGGTGTTGGGAATCGAACCTGGATCCTCTGCAAGAGTAATCAGTGCTCTTAACCACTGTTTTATTATTTTTATTTTATGTGTATGAGTGTATTGCCGGCATGTAAGTGAGTTCACCCATGTCGTGCAATGCTGCAGAGGTCAGAAGAGGACTTCAGATTCCCCTGGAACTGGAGTTAAGGACAGTTCGCAGCCACCATATGGGTGTTGGGAATCGAACCTGGATCCTCTGCAAGAGTAATCAGTGCTCTTAACCACTGAGCCATCTCTCCAGCCCCCCCAAAATAAAATATTTTTTAAAATACAAGAATGGCTGGATGTGGTGGCGCACGCCTTTAATACCAGCACTTGGGAGGCAGAGGCAGGTGGATCTCTGTGAATTCAAGGCCAGCCTGGTCTACATAGTAAGTTCCAGGTCAGCTGGGGCTACAGGAAGACCCTGTCTCAAAAAGCCAAAAAATAAAAATAAGAAAAATACAAGAATGAGGGGGGTCACTGTTTTTTCCTTTGCAGTTTCAAAAGTGATGGAGTCCAGGCAGTGTATAGCAGGGGAGTTGCTGCATAAAGAAGGCCCTGACAAACCAAAGGCCCTGAGAGGCCATTGCATGAAGTTGTGATGGTCAAGCTTCATTGGCAGTGGAGACCCCAAGATGTTGGAGATGCCAGAGCTATGAAACATCGTCAAGGAAAATGGTATACAGAAGTCGTACCAGCCTGAGAGAGATGGATGTTGCATGCAGCAAAGCTGGAGGAATTGAGGCATCTAAGTCCTTTGGAAATAAAAGTCCCAGACACCGGACATGGGGTTGCAGGATTTCGTGTTTACCCTTCTGGGTTTTGGTCTTATTTTGGTTCAGTATTTCCCCACAGTATTTCATCATTTTGGTTCAGTAATGCCCCCATTCCTCACTTTTGGAATGGAAATATGTATTAGGTTCCAATGTATGTTGGAAGTATGTAATTTGCTTTCAAATTTTACAGAAAGGAAGCATGTCACTGGGGCCAGGCTTTGAGAGTTCAAAGTCATGCCCACTTCTCTCTGGCTCCCTCTACTGCCTGTGCCTGTTTGAAGATGTGAATGCTCAGCTGTCTCCTCTGGCTGCCTCCTGCCATGCCTGTCCAACTGTGATGGACTCTTATCCCTCTGAAACTGTAACACCAATAAACTCTTCCTCCTATAAGTTACCTTGGTCATGGTGTTTTATCACAGCAACAGAAAAGTATGTACAGTTTATGCTCATATGTATGTGATGGGGAGGCACACTTGCTTGTGCATGGGAGTGCAAGGTCTTATTATACAGTCCTAGAACTTGCTATGTAGACCAGGCTGGCCTCAAACTCACAAAGACCCACCTGCCTCTGCCTCCCTAGTGCTGGGATTAAAGTCATGTGCCACCATGCCCAGTCCTTTTATTTATTAATGTATTGCATGTGTGTTGTGTGTGTGATGTATATGGGCACACACATGCTGCAACAGACATGGGAGGTCAGAGGACAACTTGGTGGAGTTGGTTCTCCCTTATACCTTTATGTGAGTTCCAGGAATTACACTCAGGTTGTCAGGCTTTTGTGGCAAATGTGTTACCTGATGATCCATCTCAATGGCCCCTTCCACTTTATTCACTTTATTTTTTATTACATTCTATCTATCTATCTATCTATCTATCTATCTATCTACCTACCTACCTATCATCTATCTATCTATCATCTATCTATCTATCTATCTATCTATCTATCTATCTATCTATCTGTCATCTATCTATCTACTTAGTTATATTGTGTGTGTTCCAAAGCATGCATGCAGAAGTCAGAGGACAACTTCTGGGAGTTGGTTTTCTCCTTCCATCATGTGGATCCCTGAGATCAAACTCAGGTTGTCAGGCCTGGCAGAGACTGCCATTTTGCCAGCCCTACTGCACCTTATTTTTTGAGACAGGGTTTTTAGTTTCATTCTTTTGCTATGACCAAAAGTAACTAAGGGGAGGAAAGGGTCTATTTCAGTTAACAGGTTACAGTCCATCATTGAGGGAAGTCAGGGCCAGAAATCAAGCAGGAACTTGAAGGCAGGCCTGCCTTGCTATTCCACACATAACCTCCCAAGGAATTCACTTCACAGAGGTACAGCAGGAGGATGCTGCTTGCTAGCTGGCTTGCCAGTTGACACACACTCAGTTAGCTTTCTTATATAGACAGGACCACCTCTCCAGGGACTGGTGCTGCTCACGGTTGAGTCCCTACAGTAATTAACAGTTAAAACAATCCCTCATAAACATGCCCACAGGCCAATCTGATTTGGGGAATCCCTCAACTGAGACTCTCTTCTTAGGTATCTAGGCTGTGTCAAGTTGACAGTTAAAGCTAACTAGGTCACAGGGTCTCTCACCTGGAGATCACCCTCTGGTTGAACTGGCTAGTCAGCAAGTCTTTAGGCTCATCCTGTCTCCTCACTCTTAGTGTGGAGGTTAGAGGTACACATGTCCATTTTGACTTTTACTTGGGTTCCAGGGATCTGAACTCAGGTCCACATGCTTGCAAAGCAAACACTTTACCCAATGATCTATCTCCCCAGCTTCCTCCTTTTCTTGAGACAGTCTCATGTGGTCCAGGTTAGCCTCAAACTACAATAGCAGAGCATAACCTTGAACTCATGCCACATCTCCCTAATAATAGCTGTTTTAGCACTGGTCAGCCACTGGTAGGACATTCTAGATATTTTCAACAACTTTCATTACAGAACATGTTTAGGGTGAGTTGCTTACACAAACAGAAAATATTCATCATTACATTTGTTTCAATCAGCCAGGGGTGGTGGCCCATGTCTTTAATCCCATCAGTCCAGAGGCAGAGGCAGGTAGATTTCTGTGAGTTCAAGGCCATTCTGGTCTACATAGTGAGTTATAGGACAGCTGGGGCTACAGCATCTGGGGCTACAGGGAGACCCTGTCTCAAAAAGACCAAAAAAAAGTTTCAATCAGCAACAATTTAAAGCAAACAGTTGGTGGCCTCTCAAATAATTTAAGGATTGGTTCTTGCTACATCCCTTCACATGCTGAGAGGAGGATAATGAGAAGGAGGACCGCCCAGAGAAAACACCCAGAGCTTCCTTTAGTTTGCATCAGATCTTCAGTGTCAATAAGGAGCATTATACCCTCAACCGATTCTGACCCCACGGCCATCTCCACCCCCAACCCCTATTGTAATGTTGCCTGTTTTCTAGGCTTACTTACTCAATATTTTATGAACAGAAGGGGCTAATGTTATGGCTTAGCATAATTATTGATTTGAGAAAGCATTCAATGAATGTTTAATTGTAGTTAGTAACAAAAGCCCCCATTCTGGGAACCTATTTCAGATATATGTATTTAACTTCCAGTTTTTGAAACAGGGTCTGGAGAACAGGCCGGCCTAACTTGTGACAATCAAAATCATCCCGTCTTTGCTTCCTGAGTGATGGTATTCGGCAGTCTTCCTGTCTTTGCCTCCTGGGTGCTGGTATTCCAAGCGTGAGCCTCACCCTGGCTGGCGTGCATACTATTTTATTAAAAAATTTTGAGACAGGGTCGGTGTCTGTCTTTCTCAACAAGTAGTCAGTTTTTTTCTGATGTTGGGAATTTAGTCCAGGTCTTCACGTACCAACCGCTCTACCTCTGAGCCACACCATCGGCTGCTACAATGTAATTTTGTTGGTTTAGGATGTGAAAGAAGGCGAAGTGTGGCTTTTCAGGCTTTACCTGAGAGACGTTCGTCTGCAGTCTTTATAACACCGAGCATCCTTCTCTTTTGTTCGTATTCCCTGCAGCGGCCTGGTACATCCTAGAATATCTCACTGTGGGAACCAGTAACAGAACAGTAGTATTTTGGACAGCCACCTCCGCAGCCCCTAGATCGCTAAGCCCAGTCTGTACGAGTATTCTTTCAGAAGACAGCTGTCACCAGGGATACCGGGCTCTGGCTTCGAGGAGTGACGTCATCTCCGAGCGCCTGGGTAGCAACCATCTCTCCTATTTGGGGAGGAGATTCCGTGTGGCGACACTATAAGGCGCCTTCCCATGATTCTTCCTTTCTCTTCGCCATCTTTCCTCCGCTCTGCCGCCAGCTGTCGCCATGAAGTAAGCGGACGTGTGCTCTCCCAATCCGCTTCCATCCTGGGCCAGAACCCCTGGGGATGGCTTCGTTTTGCCGTGCACACCGTAACGAGCTTTCGCGTTTCCTTTCAGGGTCGAGCTGTGCAGTTTTAGCGGGTACAAGATCTACCCCGGACACGGGCGGCGCTACGCCAGGACCGATGGGAAGGTAAAGGCCGGTAGGCCCGAGTGCAGCTTGGGACCTCTGCAGGGAAGGACTGGTCTAGGCGGCTCCGTGGAGCACTTCGGGAACCTTCTGTGGGGTGCATGTTAGGATGAGAACCGCGAGTTAGTGTACACCAGGCGGGAAATAGTGGTGCGAGTCCTAATGACGTCGAGTAAGGGCAAGTGGCCGAGGCGCTAAGTGAGGTAGGTGTCTGGCTGCTGATTCATGGGCTCTGAAGCAGCGTCTGGGAGGGAGAAGAGCCGGATTCCCCCAGCATCAGAGGCCTTCCCACACTCGCTGATAAGTGTCGGGTTGCCTGTTATTGAGAAAATACAAAACATAGACTGTCGCCTCCTTACCTGTCAGTTGTATCGCATAGAGCCATTTGGTATCGGGACTCGCGTTTCACAAAATGAGACGATAGAAGTAGAATACAGATGGCCTAAGGATTTCAATCTCAGCCTCTTCTACCTTGTGTAAAATTAACTACTTTGCACTGGAATTTGTTACCCCAGGTTTTCCAGTTTCTTAATGCAAAATGCGAGTCCGCATTCCTTTCCAAGAGGAATCCTCGGCAGATAAACTGGACTGTCCTATACAGAAGAAAGCACAAAAAGGGACAGTCGGTAAGTGCCAGTTTGATGTTGTCAGGCTCTTTTTAAAGATTAAGCTGTTAGGTTTTGCAATGTTAAATTGATTAAATGAGAGCGTGACTGTGCTCTGTAAAATTGTGAAACATCAACCAGTCAAGTAACAGGGATAATATAATAGTGCTGCCTTGATGCCTTAGGCTTAGAGCAATAATGAGTTGAAATTTTTAAAGGGTTCCCCCACTATGTTTCATTAGGCTTATTTGGGAAATAGTGGGAGGATTGAGGTGCTGGAATGGATGAAAGTGTGGTAGGGTACAGCTAGAATTCAGCAGGCTTGTCATGTTTAGGCATTACTGCACATCATCTATGTATTAGGGGTATAAATGGCACCAGATGTAAAACCTTAGAAGGAACTGGGCCTGGTAGCACACCCTTGTGATCTCAGTGTTTGGGAGGTGGAAGCAGAGGGATCAGGAGTTCAGGGCTAACCTTAGGCTATGGAACACCCTGTCTCCCAAATCAAAACCAAAAAAAGAAAACAAGTTAAAAGGAAGAAAGCTTGATTTCTAATCCCACTTAACAGATTCATTTGGGTACATAAATGGGGTTGTTATAGGTGTTAGTTAGGTTGTAGAGAAACAGGGATCCTAGTATGTTGCTCGAGTAAGATGGTGTAGCTGTTGTGATAAGCCATTTGTTTAAATAAAAATGTAAAAATTCACTCATCATTTGGCAGTTCTAAGAAATGAAAGCAGGTACTCAACTCACTGACAATAAAATTTGGTATAGAGCACTTTGGAGGCTGATGCAGGAGACGCCTGAATTTGAGGCCATCCTAGGTTACAAAGAAAAGCCCTGTTTCCAAAAGAGGTGGGCAGTACAGATTTGTTTGAGATGTGGTCTCTATAGCTCCAGCTGGTCTGGAACTCACTGAAATCTACCTGTTTCTGCCTTCAGAGCCCTGGAATTAACAGGGTCGGCCACCACACCCAGCTCTTGATATTTCGCTTTTGTGAGACAAGGTCTCCCTGTAGCCTAGCTGACTTAGAACTGAGTATGTGGATCAGGCTGGCCTTGATCTCACAGAAATCTGTCTCTGCCTCTAGAGCTTTGAGACTAAAGGTATGCATCACCATGCCCAGTTGAATTTTTTAAATAGTTGTAATAGTCGCTTATGCATAAGATATTTTGGTGACCTAAGTCTAACAGTTTGCTTATGTTTCTTAAAGCCTGAAAGTAGTTAAACAGTATTCCTAGACCTGCCTTTTCACAGAAGCCCCTCACATGAAGTCAGTGGAATTTTCCACTTGTGGCAGTTGTTCAAAAAGTTCTGAAGATACTCTTTATTCAGCCTTTAAAAGGTGAAAAGCAGCCACCCTGGATGAAACAGTATGCTAAGAGGAAATACACTAAGCAAAGGGCTAACTACATGATTTCATTTTTATAAGATATGTAAAATAGGCAGATTAATAAAGACTAGAGGGCTGGAGAGATGGCTCAGTGGTTAACAGTGACTGTTCTTGCAGAAGATCCGGGTTCGAATCCCAGCACCCACATGGTAGGTAAACTGTCCATAACTCCAGTTCCAGGGGATCCGATAGCCTCTTTTGCACTACCTACATGCAGGCATAACACTCATACACATAAAAATAAGTAAAATATTAAAGACTAGAAAGGACTGGAGTTCATCATTTTTAAATTATATTGGGATGGGAAATTATAAAACAAATGTTGGCCTTTTCCACTGTAAGATTTAATCTCTGTAAACAATTACTTAAAAATGACTTACTCTAACCACAAGCATCCTTATTTCCTTTAAGGGTGATTTTTGCGTAAACCTACCTTAAGTAATTCTTCAAGTTATTTAATTGTTCTTGGACTTAGAGTTACACTAAAGTTTGTTTTTTTTTTTTTTTTTTTTAACTACTTCCAACTTCATTAAGGTAGATAAATTACAGTCTTTTTGTTTTGTAGGAAGAAATTCAAAAGAAAAGAACCCGGCGTGCAGTCAAATTCCAGCGGGCCATTACTGGTGCATCTCTTGCTGATATAATGGCCAAAAGGAATCAGAAACCGGAAGTTAGGAAAGCTCAACGAGAGCAGGCTATCCGGTAAGGAATGCTTCACCATGAACATTTCACCTGTTGGGGTGAATTTAGATTGTATTGGTTTAGGACCAATTGTATTAGGTAAAGGACCAGTTGGGACCAGTTGGGATTGTACAGTGTATAGCCATAGTACAGTCATATATTCTAAATAATTTGGAATGGTAACCCTCAGCAGTTATTTACTGTACAATTAAATATGTTAGGATGACTGGGTTTTTCTTTTTGTTCTTTTTGAGACAGGGTCTCCCTGTAGCCCCAGCTGGCCTGGAACTCAAAGAGATTCACCTGCCTCTGCCTACCCGAGTGCTAGGATTAAAGGCGTGTGCCACCAGACTGGCTGGCTGGATTTTGTTTTTTTGTGAGGATTCTTTTTGCTTGTTTGGTGATAGGGTCTTGTTGTGAAGCCCAGGCTGGCCTGGAACTGTGATCCTCCTGCCACAGCTTCCCAAGGACTGTTGATAGGTGTGCAGCATCAGACCTGGCTCTGGATTTTTTAATTTGTTTATAAATATGGTTCTAATTGTCAGACTAGTACCTTGTTAATAGGTTTTGTCCTTAAAGGGTAAAGTTTTTTGCTAAATGTTAACTTTTCACTTCAAGGGCTGCCAAGGAAGCAAAAAAGGCCAAGCAGGCATCTAAGAAGACCGCAATGGCTGCTGCTAAGGTAACTGGTGTTTTCTTAGGTTTTCTACAACAATAGGACATTTTTCAGAAATATTTTTGAGAATTTCACAGTGTTTTGATCATGGACCGCCCGCCCCCCAACAGAAAATTTTATCTTGAGTACAAACGTTAGTAAATGACAGTTGAAAGTTTCTGTTGGAAATGGTTGTATCTAATTTCTAGGTGATTGGTTTTGTCTCTCAGGTCTCCAGGTTTTAGATACCAGATTTTAATCCCTGCCTCAGCTGGAATTATGGGTGTGAGAGTGTCCTATTTGTGCCCTCCCACCCCACCTCCACCCCAGCTTTGCTTTTGTATTTTTAGACTTTTGATTTTGTTTTTTTGAGATAGTATCTCCCTTTGGCCTAGTTGGCCTGGAACTCTCTGTAGACTAAGCTGGCTTTGATCTCACAAAGATGTACTTTTGTTTGGCTCTTGAGTGCTGAGATTAAAGATGTGTACTACCATGTCCAGGCCGGAAATAATTTTAGACTTCAAAAAAACCAATAATACATTGAGTTTACCTGGCTTTCTTCATTGTTACCATAACAATTTGAAACCAGAAAGTTAATATTGATTCCCATATACTTTTGGAAATACTGTGGGCTGGCAAGATGGCTCAGCTGATAAAAATCACTTGCCCCCAAGCTTGATGACCCAAGTTTGGTCCCCAGGACCCTACGCCGACTCCTGCAAGCTGTACTCTGACCTCCACACATGTATCATGGCATGTGCATTTCCCTCATAAATGTAATAAAATTTTTTTAAGGAATAAATTAAAAAACTAAGAATGAGTAAGCATTGTACACACCCAGATGGAGCTCTGAGTTCCAGGCCAGCCAGGGCTACACAGTGAAACCCTGTCCCCCCAAAATAAATAAAAACATTCTGGGCTGATGAGATGGTGGGTAAAGCACCTGCCACCAAGGCTTATGACTTGAGTTTGAACCCTGGCACCCACATGGCGATAGGCAAGAACTGATCCCCACAAGTTGTCTCTGACCTTCATGTGTGTGGTGTGTCAGAAGTGGAGACAGGATCAGAAGTTCATAGTGAGCCTAAAGTACAAGAGATAGTCTCAAAAAGCCTTTATTGGGAACAGGAAGGATTCCACAGTATATTGTATCTTACTGTCCTAACTGACAGTCTCTTGTCTGTCCTTACAAAGGTGGAAATGAACTTGTAACATTGGTATTAAGAATGCAATTAAATTATAAAGCATTGTAGGGATATATACAGAAGCTGAACTTTGTAAGAGCAAGGTGACAAAATTTCATGGAGTAATGTTACATACATGTTTTGTTTTTTTTTTTTTACAGGCTCCCACAAAGGCAGCACCTAAGCAAAAGATTGTGAAGCCTGTGAAGGCTTCTGCTCCTCGAGTTGGTGGAAAACGCTAAGTTGGTAGATTGGATTTTTAAATAAAGATCCATCTGTAACTCCAGGGTGGTGTTGGATTTTTTTACTATCACAAAAATCATACTAAGCCTCCAGAGATAATAAACTATTAAATTTTAAAGGTAATACTTCTTAACTAGGGGTGTAGCTCAGCCATAGTGTGTGCTTAGCTTGAATGAGTTCTAGGTTTGATCTCCAGCTTAAAAAGATGCTTGTGCTGGGCATGGTGGCACACGCCTTTAATCCCAGCACTTGGGAGGCAGAGGCAGGCCTAGTCTACATAATGAGTTCCAGGACAGCTGGGGCTACAAGGAGACCCTACCTCAAAAAGAGAGAGAGAAAAAAAGATGCTTGTTAACTCAAATGATGCCTCCTAATACAGTCTTAGTTAAGTGCATGGGAAATGAGAGGATGTCATGGTTCTTAGCTGTGTATGATGGCAGCATATCTACAATCCCAGCAGAAGCATGAGAATCACTTGAATCAGAAGGCACAAATCCAGTGCCTTGTATAAGCTGTGGATTAGTGCAGAGCTATATCTAGTCCAAAATGTACAATTGATTGTACTTGTCTGAGTAGTATATATTGTATATTATAGCTTGCAGTCTTCTCGATTGCAAAGCTTCATTTCCTAGGATGTTGAATAGATTGTTCTTGAATTTGATGATCTTTTCTGCTCTGTCAGTGGTAGAATCATTTTATATTTGGTTTGCCTTCTATTGGCTAGTACCTCACCATTATCTGTGAGGAGTTTAAAACTATTAACTCTATTAATCTGTGCTGAAGAAAATAAGCTTCAGTGAAGAGCACTGTTAGCTTCTGTGTGGTATATTTGCTGTTTTGTTGTTTTATCTTTTTGATTTTTTTGAGACGGGGTCTCCCTGTAGCCTCAGCTGGCCTGGAACTCACTATGTAGACCAGGCTGGCCTCCATCTCACAGATCTGCCTGCCTATGCCTGGCTCTTGTGTTTTTTTTTTTTTTTTTTTAAGATTCAGAATCTGACTGTAGACAGGATGCCTCCTCCTGCCTTTACCTCCTTAGCATTAGGATTATGGGTATGAGCAACCACACCCAGCTAGAGCATTGCTTGCTTGTTTTTTCTTTTTTTTTAAGGCTTATTTTTGCTTTCTTTTTTTAAAAATTTAAATGTATTTCGCTTGCATGTATATAATGCTTGGCTGAGCATTTTTCTTTTTGATTTTTTTAAATTTAATTTTTTAAAAATTTTATGTGTTTGCGTGTATTGCCTGCATGTAGGTAAGCTCACCCGTGTCATGCAATGCCCATGGAGGTCAGAAGAGGCTGTCGGATCCCCTGGGACTGGAGTTACAGACAGTTGTTAGCTGCCATGTGGGTGCTGGGATTCAAACCTGGGTGGTCTTCTGCAGCAACCAGTGTTCTTAACCACTGAGCTATCTCTCTGCCCCCCCCCCCTTTTTTTTTTTTAAATCTTTTGAGACGGTTTCCCTGTAGCCCCAGCAGGTGTGGAACACAGATCTGCCTCCTTCTGCCTAGGATCAAAGGTATGCACCACCACACCCAGTTGAGGATTTCTTCTTAAATGGTGTGCTGGTTACAAGAGCTATGCATTACAAAGCCACGCCAAACTTTAAGATTTCTCAAAGCTGGGCTTTGTGGCACACGTATGTAATCCAAGCAACTAGGAGATAAGAGGCAGGAGGATCAAGGAGTTCAAGGTCATCCTTCTCACCTTCAAGTGAGTTTGAGCTTAGCTTGGACTGTCTCAACAGATCTCTTACCCTACTTCCCAACAAAACCACCCAAGTTTCTCATCCCTGGTACTGTTTAACATGCATGTAGAAGTGATGGGGCAGGTGTGATCATTGCTTATAGTCCTGGTACTCAGGGATCTGAGGGAGGATTGCCAAGAGTTAGAGGCCTGCCTAGGCTACATAGCAAGACCTTGTCCCCCAAATAGCCATTAATCTGTAAAAAATCGTCTTGCTTGTAACAATGCAGGTCATCTTTACATGGATACAGTGAACAAGTCATAGTCCTTTTGAAGAACATGGTTTACATATGTCCCAGGTAGCACACAAGTAGCTAAACACATGTTAAAAGTTTAGTTTCACTTGGGAAGAAAATTTGCCCACCAGGAAAAAATTCTAGTAACATTTTCTATTACTACTTTTTTGTTTTGAGACAAGGCCTGAAACATTCTCTACCTCTGCCTTCTGAGTGCTGGGATTGTCTGCCTCTGGCGTCTCCCAAATTCTTGCAGAAGCTGAATTGGTTGTTTTCACTACTTCATAGTTATCTGTATTCTTGAAATTTTATTCAAATCTGTTAAATATTAGATTGATTTTTAAGTAGATAACAGAAAAGTGGTGAGGCCCACACCTAGTATTGACCAAGTTACTTAGAAGATGGATATGGATGTCTGCTCTTGTCTCCCACCTTATTTTGGGGGGGCCCCCTCTAATTCCATTACAGTACAAAAGTTATCTGATTAAGAAATACTAGTCATGCATTTTGTGGGTTTTAATTTATGCATGTGTTTTGTCTGCACCAGGTGTGTGTAGTGCCTGTGGAGGTGCAAAGGGCATGGGATTCCCTGGAGTTTTAGGACAGTTGGTTAGCACTGGTGTGAGTGCTGGGAATCAAACCAGAGTACTCTGCAAGAGCAACTCTAGTGCTCTTAACTGCTGAGCCCCCCAGCCTCTTTTTTTTTTTAAAGACAGGGTCTCCTGACTGGCCTGGGGCCTTATTGACCAGGCTGGCCTCAAACTTAAGAGGCCCTGCCTCTGCCGCTCAAGCACAGGGTTTAAAGGCAAGTACACTAACTATTCCTGGAACGCCAGAATTTGGAGCCTCCTACCATCTCCTCACTGTTTCCACAACAGTCAAAAAGCCTTAGATAGTGCAGCCCCGCAGTGGGAAAAATTGGCAGTATCTATAAAGCCCTTGGGCTGGGAAATCTCGAATTTTCCAAATTGTGCAAAGCCTCACAGAGCATTCAGGGGCCCTGGACAGCATAGCATATTTCATACCTTGGATGGGTAATCTGGGCCGTTGCTTCAGATTATCAACTAAACAACCTCCAGGCCCTCAAATTACAGTGGCAAACAGCTCAAGAGTTTCATGAGTCTGGACCCTTAGAATATTTTTGGGGTATAAAGAGACCGTTCTCCAAATTTCTACCAAAAAAATGTGTAGATATATAATATGGTTGATGACATTGCAACTATCTCTGATCCAGTGCCTAGTAGCTAATTTGCTAGTTTTAAAATCTGATTTTTGTAAATCAGTAATCTCATGGTAGACATTTATCCTTTTGAGGGAGGGTCTCATTTGGAACTCCAGCACAGCAGCTCCAACACGTGGCTTTTCAGAGGGCGTGGGAAAGGGAAAATAAAAAGGGAAACTGCCAGGATTTAAGATGTCTGCTGGAGACCCTTGGATCTCCCTGGAGGAGGTACCCACTTCCAAAATGTCTTCCTGCAGTATTGACGTCACTCTGCCTGCTCTCTGAGAGCTAGAAATTGAGTGCACGCCAATCAGGGCGTAGGCCCCGCCTTTTACTGGCGTCACTTCCGGTGGTGCAGCAGCCATTTTGTCAGTCGCCTGTGGAGCCCGCGCGCTGGAGAAGTGCAGTTCCCCCTAGTTACCAAGTCGTCGGTTCTTCGTGAAGCGGGCGCCCTCAAAGAGCGCTCACCAAAGGCGGAGCCGCTCCTCCTTCAGGTGTGGCCGCAGCTATTGCGTCGGTCCGGGGCTAGTGCGCTGTCTGCCTTCCCCACGCCTGACAGGCACCCTCTGGGAACTGCCATCCGCGATGTCAAGTGAGGAAAGCTACCGGGCCATCCTGCGCTACTTGACAAATGAACGCGAACCTTATGCACCCGGCACCGAGGGCAATGTCAAGCGTAAAATCCGTAAGGCTGCCGCCTGCTACGTGGTGCGCGGCGGGACTCTATACTACCAGCGGCGGCAGCGGCACCGCAAGACCTTTGCGGAGTTGGAAGTCGTGCTGCAGCCGGAGCGTCGCCGTGGCCTCATTGAGGCCGCACACCTGGGTCCTGGCGGCACTCACCACACTCGGCATCAGACCTGGCACGACCTGTCCAAAACCTACTGGTGGCGAGGTGAGAGTTGGGCCGGGGCGAGTCAGCGGCTGGGCTGCGGGGCGCGGCGGGCACGACCAGCGGGAGCCCAGCGTGCGCACTCGCGAGCCCCGGGTCTCAGGCGGCTCCGCAAGTCAGCCGGCGTTCCGCAGCGCCGGGGCCGGCGGACCGAGTTGCAGGGTGGGGGACGCGAAAGCAGCCGCACTTCCCACAGGAAGGAGGCCCGGGAGGCTGGGGGCGGACCCTCGCCTGGGTGGGGCTTCGGGGGCTTCCCCAGGGGCTGGGCTAGCGGCGAGAGGGCGGGGCGGGGCTTGAGGGCCCGCCTCCTCCGGCCCCTGGGGACTGGTGGGCGGTGGGCAGGCCTGCGACCTGTAGGATGGCCTGCGCCGCGGGAGTAGGCGGACCCGAGGCCGGGGCTGCTGTCGCTAGGGAGTGCCTCTCGGGTTTGGCCAGTGGGCTAGGGGATCTCCGGATCCATTTGCCCCATGTTTCTATCCTGAGACTACGACTCAGAATAAGGAATAACGTAGTTAGTGTAGAGGTGATAGGAGTAATTGTGTTCAGTCGTCTTGAATCTGGTTTTTAGAGCAGGAGTTAACAGTGAAGACTGTCTAATATTCCCTTTCTTGGGAGAAGGGAGGGGTTTTTGTTTTTGTTTTGAGGTAGGGTCTTGCCCTGTAGTACAGGCTGTCCTTGAACTCAGTGGTAATCTTCCTGCCTGGGTCTTTTGAATTGCAAAGATTACAGCCCTGCCACACCACGTGCGATTATCTTCTGTTTTAAATTTGTTTCTGATTTATTTTTATTTTGCGTGTTTGAATGTTTTCCGTTCATGTATATAAGTGCACCACATGTGTGCAGTAACTGAGGAGGCCAGAAGAGGGCGTTGGATTCCCTGGAACTAGAGTAAAGGACGGTTGTTAGCCACCATGTGGGTGCTGGGAACTGAACCCGGGTCCTTCTTTTAACCCATTGAGTCATCTCCAGCCCCTCATATCAGATCTTATTTCGGAATGTTCTGATTTCATGAAAATGGCCTAGGGAATTGTGAAGCACAACCTATATGCCGAGAAAAGATAAGGTTACTGTCACTCATTTATTATTTTTTTTAGACAGGGTCTCACTAAATTACTTAGACTGGACAATTTAGTATAGACTGTTTCAGTGTCCCTAATAGCTGGAATTACAGACCTGTGCTCCAGAGTCTGAAGTTTCTTGACCTCTTGGAAAGGGGATTAGGGCAGAAAAACAGGTACTCTTGATTTTCTGTTTTGTTTTGAGGCAGGGTCTCACTTTGTAGCCCTGACTGGCCTCAAACTCCTAGAAAGCCACTTACTTCTGCCTTCATAGTGCCAGGACTGAGGGCATATGCCACCATGTCCAGCATCCTTTTTAATGGCTTTTTCTGGAGTCTACACAGAGTTGATATATATTGAACTGCTCAGTTAGAATTAATACTAGTTTACTGAACCATCATAAGAGATTTTATTAGGAAGAATTCTGCCACTCTTGGTATGGCTTTGGCGAAATTAACATGTGAACCTTGGTTACATCATCTGTGAATAATTTGACTATAGTATTGGTTTCTAAACTTTTTTTATTTGTTTTGGATGTGTATGTGTAGTTAAGTAGGTATATGCATGTGCTTGCATGCCATGGCACCTATACGAGGTTAGAGGACAACATATGGGAGTTTGTTTTCTCTTTCTGTTGCGTGGGTATGAGGGATCAATCTTGGGTGGTCACGTTTGGTGGCAGGTGTCTTTAACCTACTAAATTGTCTCTGGTCTTTGGCCTAGTTTGCTCACTTCCTCCTTCCTTTCCTCCATTCCTCCATCCCTCCCAGAACTCCCTCCAGGCTAGCCTGAAACTCAGAGAGATCCTCCTGTATCTGCCTCCTGAGTGCTGGGATGAAAGGCGTATGCCACCAAGCCCAGACTAAAATTTTTTATGAAGTGTTTATTTATTTATTTATTTATTTATTTATTTATTTATTTATTTAGGAACTCGCTATGTAGACCAGGCTGGCCTTGAACTCAGAGATCCGCCTGCCTCTGCCTTCCCAGTGCTGGGCTCAAAGGCGTGCGCCACCACACCCAGCCCAATGAGGTGTTTTTATTACATTTATTTTGTGTGGTGTGTGTATGTGGTGTATGTGTGCATATACATGGCTTGTCACGGCACACATGCAGAGGTCAGAGAACAACAGGGATTTTTTTTTTTTTTTTGTCTTTTTGAGACAGGGTCTCCCTGTAGCCCCAGCTGTCCTGGAACTCACTATGTAGACCAGGCTGGCCTCAAACTCACAGAGATCCTCCTGCCTCTCCCTCCTGAGTGCTGGGATTAAAGGTGTGCACCACCACGCCTGGCATAACTGGGATTTTTTTTAAAGACATTGTGCACTTTGGGGCTGGAGAGATGGCTCAGTGGTTAAGAGCATTGGCTACTGTTGCACAGGACCTGGGTTTGATTCCCAGCACCCACATGGCAGCTAACCACCATCCATAACTCCAGTTCTAGGAATCTGACTCCCTCTTCTGACTTCTGCAGGCATTGTTGACACAGGTGCACTTACATATATGTAGGCAATACACTCATACACTAAATTAAAAATAAAGCATTTAGAAAAGGAAAGTTGTTTTAAGAAAACCACATTGTACACTTAAAACAACAACACTGGCCTAGATACCACCCAAGATAGTCAATTTAGACAGCTGAACTGATTTAGAAAATTATTTTATGTGTGTGCCTTCCAGCATGCATGTATGTACCACCTGAATGCAGGTGCCTTTGGGAGGCCAGAAGAGGGCACCAGATCCCCTGCAACTGGAGACTGGAGTTGTAGATAGTTGTAAGCCACCTGATACTTGGAATATTGAACACCATCATATAGCAGAGGCAAGTAGTATATGACGTTAGTATGATCAGCTGGGTGACCTTTGAGATGTTAATATTTTGATGCATTTAGTTTTCCCATCTGTAGATGACATAAATATTTCTTCTTCACAAAATTACAGTCTCAGAATTGGGGAAGGTGGGGCTAGAGAGATGACTCAGTGGTTGATCGCACTGGCTGCTCTTCCAGAAAACCTCGGTTCAGCTCCCAGCGCCCACATGCCAACCAACAACCATCTGTAACTCCAGTTCCAGGGGATCCTAACTCTCTCTCCCTTTCTGAGGGCATTGCATGGATGGATACACTTAGGTGTAGGCAACATATGTACATAGAAACTAATAGTTAAATTTTTTTTGGTCTTTTTGAAACAGGGTCTCCCTGTATCCCCAGCTGACCTGGAATTCACTGTAGACCAGGCTGGCCTCAAACTCACAGACATCTGCCTGCCTCTGCCTCCCAAGTACTGGGACTAAAAGTGTACACAACCATGCTCAACAATAAAAAATTTTAACTAAAATTTTAATTAAGAAAATATGTGTGGATTGAAAACATCATTAATGCTTCTTTTAGCGAGAATTAAAAAAAAATTTATGTGTATGAGTATTTTGCCTGCATGTAAGTGCACCGTGTCCTGCAATGCACTGCAGAGGCCAAAAGAGAGTGTCAGATCCCCTGGAACTGGAGTTACGGATGGCTGCTAACTGCCATGTAGATGCTGGGAATCAAACCTGGGTCCTCTGGAAGAACGACAAGTGTTCTTAACCACGAAACCACATCACCAGCCCCGGGAATTGTTTTTTTAACACATCCTAGCATACTATACGTGAAGTATTTGTTCAATAACATCTTTCCCTATGTGCTGAGATCTGCCTGCTTCTGCCTTTTTAGTGCTGGGATTAAAGATGTATGTTTGCCTCTACACTCAGCACCTTATTACAGAGATGGAAAATTATTTCACTAGTTTCTTCAGGCATTTTTTTTTCAAGAATTGTAAGATTAAGCAACTTACATGGCATATATCTGAAATGCTTAAGCTTATTGATGCTGGTTTTTGTTTTTGTGTTTTTGAGACAGAATCTCTGGAACTGGATTCACGTGATCTACCAGCTGTAGACTCCTGGTGTTGAGATTACAGGCTTGTGTCACCATGCCCTGCTTATAATAAGCATTTACCCCTCATTTTGAAGTACTGGGGATCAGATTAGGACTTTTCCTATGCTAAGCAAGCCCTCTACCACTGAGCTATATTCCTAGCCCCACAACAATCATTTCTTCTCCCCTTCTGTTTTTTTGAGATGGAAGTCTTACTGTACTACCCAGTCTGAACTCAAGCAATCTTGCCCCAGCCTTCCAAGTAGCTGAGACTACTGGCACACTACCATGCCTGGCTTAGGAAACAGATTTTTGAACACCTGTCAGAAGTAAATTGTTCAACTTGGCAACAGAACTTTAGAGCTAGTGGTTCTCAACTAATTGGCAGTACCTCTCAGGAGACAGTTGACTGTGGAGACAATTTGGATTTTCTAAACTAGGGTGAGGGGCTGATGCTTAGCTCAGTGGTAGAGTGCTTGCCTAGCATGTACAAGTCATTGTCAAAATGCCCGGTGCTGAAGAAAAATAAACTGACAAGAGAGGGAGTGACAGTGGCATCTAGTTGGGTAGAGGTCATGGATGCTCCCAGGCATTCTATAATACACAGGATACACCCCTCACATCAAAAGATCATCTGACCTGAAAATGTTAATTCAGGTGGCCCCCAACTTAAGGTAGTTTGGTTTTATGGTGGCATAAAATGCATACAGATTCAGGAGGACCTATATTTTGAATTTTTATCTTTCTCTAGGCTAGAAATATGTTAATACCATAATGCGTTTCCTGTGTGTGCAGCAGCTGTGAATCAAAGTTCTCAGTCAGAAAGATGTCAGTCAGCCAAGTGATAAATACAGTAAATCACCAATACTCTGTAACATACTGCTCTGTTATGATGTTGGTAGCTTAGGTGGGTGAGTTAAATGCATATTCAACTTAATGGGTTTTTTTTTTGTTTTTTTATTTTTGTTATTTCTTCTCATCTGCTAGGTTTAGGTTTGATTTGTTCTTGCCTTTTCAGAGTCTTAGGTTGTCC